CATTTGAAATGTGTGATAAATATTATTAATTAATTAATTAATTAATCGATATAAATATGTTAATAAAATAAATTAAATAGTTTCATCCTCATCATCTTCGTTATCATAATAATCTTTGTATATATATATATATATATATGTAGATATATATATTTATATATATCCTTTTTTTTTTGTTGCTTTCATGATTATTAACGGTATCATTTGTGTAATCGTATCGCTATCGGCATCGGTTCGTCAGGCATCGGTTTAGCCGGCTTACCGCCCTTTGAAAATGATAGATAAACTTCGATCTAGATGTGGAACAAATCAAGTCGTCAATTGTTTAAAAAAATTACAAAAAGGTACAGATACAATTAAGCAAAGATACAGACTCAAAAATCATACAATCAATTACATCTTAGCCCGAGCGAAGCGCAACTGTAGGCGTTCAATTTCTGCTCTCTAGCTCTGGCTCTGTCACCGGCACTGACTCGGCTCAGTCGTACCACTAAACTAAACTAAACTAAACTAGGAATAAGAATCGTGATTCGTTAAGCATAATGGCATTACACAAAATTATAAGTACGAGTATTCCCCCGGTTTGCACACAAATAATATCGCATCTTCTAAACCGAAAGAACAAAACATCCGAAAATCGTTTTAATTGGAATGCGTTTAAGGTTAAATTTTTGTTTGGGAGTTTCTGCCCCACAGAGAGTCGCGTGCGAGTTGGGGGGATTATGCTAAAACTAGGCCTAGGACTAGTACTGGTGGAATGTCTTTGTCTGAGATCAATGGGTTCCGATGGCTTCTCTGCTTGACTAGCTGTGTGTCAGTATGTGTGTGTATGTATGTGTGTAAAAAGAGAGATAAATAAAGATGGAAAGAAAGAGAGAAAGAGGGGGATAAAAGGGCAGATAGCACGCCGCCCCTTGCGCTGTGGTCCAGGCTTAGGTCCAGTGTTCAGGGCACAGTCCACTAGTATGGTATGACAAAACGTCGATAGTTTCGGAAAAAAACGGAAAAAGAAAATACAGAAAAGAAAGGCAACGAAAATGATACAACAGAAAGAAAGGATAAACAAATAAATATTGAAATATATATAAATAAAGATAAGTATGCGAAAATTTTCATCAAGTGTTTCATTTATTGAAAATTTTTTCGATTTGGCTTTTTGCTCTTGTTACGTGTTCGGTGCGGAAATCAAATGAAATCATAAGTGTAAACGTAAATATAATGAATATAATCATAGTCGAGCACAATTCCACAGTTCGTGGCGTTAAGTTAAATCAAAAACCATAAAATACATAAAAATCAAATTGAAAAATAAAATCAAACTAAATCATAAACATAATCATAATGTAATTTTTTTCATTCGATTTGATGCTAATTCCGATTCATAAGGATCGTACATCGCGTGTATGTAGATGCATTTCTAAACGTACTACATCTTCTTGTTGCCTTTACAAATCGAAATCCAGCTTGAAACAATGTTAAAATTTGGATCAAGAAAACAAATTATAAAATACAAAATTAAAATTAAACAAAATATAAGTTTTCATAGAGGGGGCCAAAGAGGGAGAGGGAAAAAGATATAGCTGGAGGAACGAGTGAATTGAAACATTGGCCCAGAGTTGCATCTGGGTGTGCCACATAGCGGTCTCGCTTTCTTCTCCATCTTTCTCCATACTCTCTCTCCCGCTGCATGTTTGTGTTGATGTGTTAAAGTGTGTTTGTGTATAATTAGTCTATATTCTTCATCGAGTTCATCTTCGCTTTGGTCGATAATCAAAGGAATATTGAACCCAAATTGCATTACAATAAATTACATAATTCATAAAAAATACAATAAATAAGATTGTTCTGTTCTCTGCTCTTGTCTCCGTCGTTTCTTTGTTCGCTCACTTAATATACGTAAAGAAAAAATTATGAGAGGTATAAATATAAATAATATGCATATCCATTTGAACAGACATAATGTACATAGAAAAATCGCTTACATTTGTAAAATTACAAGCAAAAAAATAATATGATTTCTTGCATATCTTGATCTTGTTGTTTCATGATTTATAGAATAATAATGGGTTTAACCTGCACGATCGTCATCGATGGTTCGATTCCATCTCTTGTATCCTTCTCTTCCCTAACATTATTTTTTGTTTTTTTTTTTGTTTTGTATTTTTCTGATCCTTATTCTTCTTTTTGTTTCCTTTTTTTGCTTATTGAAATTATAATCTTTAATTGTTAGATTGAGATGCATGAAATGTGTTGCTGTTGTCGTAAGTTGCAATCTATTGCACAAAAATTATAATTAATACAATTAATTAAATCATTGATGACAAAAAAAAATAACCATATATATAGTAAGGTAAAGAATGGGTTAATTAAATTAAATATATATATATATAGCATACACATATACACAGATATATATAGATGCATGTACACACACATATGTATATGCAAGAGCATATGAATACGAATACAAATTTAAAAAATCACGTACATGATTCTTCAATTAAAACGGATTTCCTAGACTTGCTTTGCACTTTCCTCTATATGATATACATACTATATATTTATATCTGCATCATGTACATTGTGCTATATAAATAAACTAGCAGATTCTTTAAAAATGTTTAGCAGGGCAGAAACAACAAGCAAAAAATCAGGAGAAGAGTGTAAGGACTTGATCTCACTTCATTTCTCTTTTACTTGCTCTCTACTGCGTTATGAGGGGCGAGGGTGTAGGCTTGGCTCAATCAATAAATCAATCATTTCGCTATGCTTAGTTGTAGATATAAATTGTCTTAGTACTTTTGGTTTGATCTTCAATTTAACGCTCTCTCTCTCCTCTCATATCCTGCTGCCTCAAATATTTTTTCATGCTTCTCTACATCCACTTTATAGTGCTCTTTTTCCACCATCATCATCATCATCTCCTCCTTTTCCATCTCTTCTGACTAGATTTCTTGTTGCAATTTTGTTCAAACAAAGAAACAAAAAAAAATTCCTTTCCTTGTACGGCCTACAGTTACAAAAAAAAGGTACTATATTTAGGGATATATGGTAAACATATATATATATTCTATAGAGCTAGGTAGATTAATCATAAGCAGAATTCAATCAATTTCTAAGTGGCTCCACCTCCTCCTCCTCCCCCTTGCTGGGGATTCGGTTCTGTTCGGTTCAGTTTGCTTTTGATCAAAACTTAAGTTAATCATTTTCACTATTAGGGGAGAGAGAAATCAAATTCGGGCACTCTCTTTGGTTGGGGAAGGGGGGGTTGGGGGTCTTTTCTATAATTTCATAATGAAATCAATATAGATCAAAACACAAAACATTGTTATAAATATGCATGGTTTGGGTCTGGGTTTGCGTTAAGGTTTGGACTGGGTGGGGTCTGTGTCTGGGTCTGGTTGAAGTCGGAATTCTGATGGCGTCAGTTCATGTCAGGGCTGGGATCAGTTTATGGATCTGTTTGGGTTATGGGTATGCAGGAGCCTCCATTTCCGATTTTTACACAAAGCAAACAAAGAAATCAAACAAAACTTAATCGAAATACGGAATTCAGAACAGAAATTATACAATATATGGCGTACAATATATCTGTGTGTAAATGTGTTTTCCTTGTGTGTCCACTCTCTCGCTTAACAATCAACAGAAGCAAAAACAAAAGTTTTCAAGTGAATAAAACTGATGATAAATCAACGCAAAAGATTATTTGGGGTTTTGGGGCAATACGGGTGGATGTGCTAAGGGTTCTCCCATCTCGCCTGACTTCTATTAACTTTTCGCTTAACTTACTTTGCTAGAGAAAACGCTTTGCTAATGCTTTTGTTTACACCTATTTCATACATCATTTTATCGGTTTCTGTTCCTTTTTCTTTGTTTTCAACTTTTGTCATATAAAAATGGTTTGTTGTTTTTGTGGTGGCCGTACTTGTTTTTTAGTTATTCTCGTTTTTTTCATGTTTTGTGCTACGCTTTTGTCTTTTGGTTAAACGCTAAAAAACTGTGTAGTTTTTAGCAAATATTCGACTCTTATTTGCTCCTTGAACTATACATTAGATAAAGTATGCTGCATGTATATGTATATAGGTTGCACGTATCTATATCTATATATCAAATATATCATATATCCATATAGATGCATGCACACACTTGACATAGTTATAGTATAAATATTCACTAACAATTATTTACTTTAGTAAAACATTTCAAATTTGCGCATAAATTATTGTATTACTCTTGCTTTTCTTCATTTTTTTTAGCCAAGTTTTTACAGATCTAACTGCTTTTCAGTGTGTATGTGTGTGTGTGTGTTCGTATTTTTTATGTTTGTGTCTGTGCGTGTGTGTGTAAAGGACACAAATTTAGCTTGATCTGGGTCTGGCTTTCCTCTTATCTTTCACATCTCTTCACTCCCTAATCTCCACTTTAAATGTTAAGAAACATACAAAAAAAAAACACTAACAAAATTTGTAAATTTTTTTACGCATGTACACATGCATATGTACACAATGTAGGTGTATATCTATATGGTAGATATATTACTATCATTCGATTAGATATATATGTATATATATATATATATATATAAATAAATATATATATATAGAAGTATTGAACTTTTTGTTGCACATCGCTTAAGTATGTAGTTTTTGTTTCTCTTGTAATACTGTAGCAGCCTCCATGTTGAGTATACATATACTATATAGAATCTTCAAATACTTTGCCAGAATCACCCAGCAGCATCAAGCCGAACCAATGTCCTTCGGACACACACACCCTATATTGTTATCATATATCCTAGACACTGAACTCTATTAGTACCTTCATGATAATCCTCGCTAATGGTAGAAAAATTTTGGAGTGTTACTAACAGATTTCTTGCCTGTTGCCAGTTTTTTGTTTTTGTTTTTGTTTTTTTTTTTTGTTTTGGAAGATTTCATTGCTGTTTTACTTAACTTTAATACATTTTTTAAAATTCTTTGCTTCTTGTTTTTGTTTCCTTTTGCTAGTTTGGAGTTTTTTTTAAATTTTAAATGTATTTTCTTCATATTTGCTTTGGGGGCTTTTCTTCGTTTTGTTGATTTCTTTGTTATGCTTTATGCCTTCTTCTACTTTCTTCTTCACTCATATTACCCTCTCTCTCTCTCACCTCAGCTGTTTTGTTTTGGTTTAGTTTATGTTTCCTTACTTAAATGCTAAACAAGAAGAATTTTGCTATTGCAACGGCTTTTTGGCGGAGGTGGCCTTCAATTTGGGATGATTCTTTGGGATTTGGATTAGATTTTTGGGGGTGTTCAGGATTTACAGAGTTTACAAGGATGGGCCGCCCCTTTCGTTGTGTCGACGCTTGAGAGAGAGCCAGTGTCACTACTCCAACCTCCTGCTGCCCTCTGACGAGAGCTTTCTTGAATTTACTTTCTTTCTTTCCCTTTTTGTTTTGTTTTGTTTTGTTTCGTGTGTGTTTTACACATACTCTTTGTTGCGCTTAGTTACCGTTATACCATGCATATTTATATATGTGTGTTTGTGTGTGTGAGTGTGGTATGTGTGAGGTTGTGTATGTGTGTGTTCTGTGTCTGTGTCTTAAGGGAACTGCGGATGTGGGAACAATAGTGTAGACTATATGTAATTTCGGCCCTCCCATCCTCGTGGATCGGGGATCATCTCCTACTTGGCCTTGTTGGTCTTAAAGCTGACCTGAAGCACCCTATTGCCCATGGTATAACCGTTAAGGGCGCGGATGGCCATTGCCGCCTCGTCGTAGTTCGTCATGGAGACGAAGCCGTAGCCCTTGCACTGATTCGTTGTGGGATCCTTGACGATCTTCACGGATTGCACTGCCCCGAAGGGACCAAATAGCTGCCACAGGGCCGCCTCCTCGGTCTCGGGCGCCAGATTGTAAATAAAGATGGGATAGGCTCCGCCCGGTCCGCTGGCCAGCGTGGTGGCCGCCGCCGCCGCTGCGCCCAGTCCGTTGGGCAACATCACGTCCAACATGTCGCCAGCCATGGGCGAGAAGCGGGCTAGCCCCTTATTAACAGGCGTGTGCATGGCGCCACCAATGCGGCGCACCAGCTGCGGATTGAGGAACGCGGGCAGCTGCGGCTGTATGATCTTGCTGGTGCTGCCGGGCGTATTGGAGAACTTCACCACAATGGGGTCCGTGCAGCTGGAAGGCGTTGTGCCGTTGAGGGCGATAATGGCCCGAGTGGCCTCCTCGCGTTTGTCAAAGCGTATGAAGCCAACACCCTTTGTCTGGGTATCATTGCCAGCGTTCTGCAGGATACGCGACGTGATGATCGCGCCGAAGGGGGCAAATATAGCCTCTAGCTCCTGCTGGGTCATTGTCTTGGGCAGCCCGGACACATACAGATTGGCGCCCTTGATGGCGTCCGAAGAGGGCCGTGCGAAGGACACCTTAATCGTCTTGTTCTGCAAACGGAGCCCATTCAGCACGTTGACCGCCTGCTCGGCGTCCTGCGGCCGCACGTAGTTGACGAAGCCATAGCCAAGGCTCTGACCCTTGCTGGGCGCCTGCGGATTCAGCGGATCGATGTAGACCTGCGACTTGTCGCGTATCAGCTTCACGGACTCGATCTCGCCCACGCTGCTGAAGAGCGATCGGATTTCGTCCTCCGTCATCGTCTGCGGCAAGTAGTTGACAATCAGGTTTGTGCGCGTCTCCGTGCTGCCGTTGCTACCGTTCTGCGGCACGCCAGCATTGCCGTTGGTGTTCGGCGGAGGCTGCGGCTGGGGCACCACCGCTTGCTGGACCTGCTGCTGCACTTGCTGCTGCGCCACCACTGCCTGCACTTGCGCCTGCTGCTGCTGGACTTGCTGTTGCACTTGCTGCGCCTGCTGCTGCTGTGCCTGCTGTTGCTGGGCCACGGCCTGCTGCTGCTGCTGGAGCTGCTGCGTGACGGCGGCGGCGGCCGCGGCTACCGCTTGCTGTGTCTGCTGCTGCTGCACTTGAAGGATCGCCTGCTGTACCTGTTGCTGCTGCTGCAGCTGGGCGGCGGCGGCGACAGCTGCCGCATTCTGTACCGGGGCGGCGGCCACATTAGTGGCTGCCACGGCCGCTGCGGCGGCTGCACTCTGCATCAGTTGCGCCTGTGTGTCCACTCCGCCGGCGGCTCCTGTGTTTGCCATCATAAAGTCCACTGGGTGAGGGGCAATCGGTGGGGTTGAGTTGAGTTAGATGTGACGATGGGGCGATGGCGGGACCAACGCAGGGGGAGGCGTATGGAAAGAGTAGTTAAATGTCAAGATTAAACCATTTGCATGTTGTGTTAGTCGTTCTACAGCTACTATTAGGTACGGTGTTAGTTAGTTATACTTATTATTCTATTCTACATATTAAAGTGCCGCCAGGGATGCAAATCACTTTAAGGCGTGCTTTTCAACCCTGGTCCTGGGGTTAGCTCGGGGGTTAACGGTAAGCTGAAGGAGCTTTGCTCACTGGCGCCGCCCAGCGGCCCACTTACTTGTTCTGTTCTATCTATCTATCACTTCTCTTCTCACAGTCACCCACGCACGCACACACTGACCCCCTGCTGCTCAGAGGCCAAAGCACTCACAAACAAACACAAACACACACCTCGCCGCTCGCTGTGGAAAATAACTTCTCCGAGTTTTTCTCTTGTGCTTTTTTTCTGTTTTATTTCTTTCTTTTTGAATTCCGTGTGCCTCGATTTGGTTTACTGCTTCTATTGCAATTGCCTCTTCTTTCCGTTCCGTTCCGTTCCTTTTCCGCTACAAGAACAGATCCGCTGCGTACAAGGCACACGATGCTTCTGAGCGCAGACCAGGAGCAGGACATGGCCAGGCTCTTTCATTTAATGCTCTTTCTCCCCCTTCTGGATACGGGAAATTGTTACAGGCACATACACACACACATGCAGGCATATACATAGTTTTATATACCCCCACCCAACCCAGTTATGTAATACAGGAGAGGGGGCCAGGGGGCAGGATACAAAAGCGCACCCCTTAACGAAAGGAAGGAAAAGTGCCAAAAATTGTGTGTGTTCAGCGAAAAATGAGCAACCGCTCGTTCGTTTGAGCTCGTATAACCCCCACCCACCACACACGCTCTTGACCCGGCTTGTGTGTGAGTGGGTGGGTGTGTGTGTGTGTGTGCAGGCTGGCGCAACGCTGTTGAAATCAACCCCTAAAACCGACCAAGAAGCAAGTTGTAATAATTCTGATGCAAAAAAAAAACAGGAAACTTGCCGCTGCTTAAGGGTTAAATGCAAACAGTGAGCGGAGCAATACCACCCCACTGTGTTACATTTACATGGGATGTGGCAACGTTGTAACGGTAACGGTAACGGTAGGTAACGGCTTTTGGGTACGGCAGTTCAGCCCCAGTTCAATGAACTAGTTGGGGTTGGGAACTGATCAAAAGATCAGTGGAACTAGTGGGTCACATTGGCTGGCATTCAACTATGAGAAGTTCCAATTCGCACCTTTTCTTGAATGGGGGTACGAAAGAGTCAAAAGGTTAAATGAACGAAACACACACACACACACTCTATTCAGCAATTTCAGCACCGCACCCTTTCTGTTATTTATCCTTTTTTACACTTAGGCATACATACATATGTAGATAGAGGGAAGAAATACATTCTATTCTTTCCCATCTTCAAATACTCACTTGTTTCTGTTTAGTTGGTCGTTGCGGGGTGTTGGGGATGAGGGCGATATTCCACGGATTTGTATTTTTCTGCTCGATGGCCAGCAAAATTAAGTAATTAATAATTGCTTTCTCTCTCACTCGCTGGACTTCGAATCCTGGATTTACGCGCCTGCGCTCTACACGGCGCTGCCTCCTCTCTTCACTGTCTCAACCTGGACCAGGCCTCTTTTCCTTTCGTAGTTTTTTTTTGTAAGGCCAATAAATAATCGCTGGCCTCCTCGTCGTCGTCGTCGTTGTTGCCGTCTGATGTGAACAAAAACAAAAACGGTAAAGAATAACAAAACAAATGCAGCGGTAAATTTTGTTTGTGTGAGTTTGCTTGATCGTTAATCGATTCTATTGATTTACAACCACACCAATGGGTCGGGGGGACACACACACTTTCGGAGTACGAAAAATTACATTTCACTCGAAAAAAATGAACATCAACAACAAATTTATCTACTGTACGTGCATACATATTTATGTATGTGCATATATCGTCTGTACAATTATACAATTTCTGTTCCACTAAACGGATGGATTGCTATTTTTGCTATATTTCAATACTAATGCTGATTTTTACTATCGCTCTCTCACTCTCACTCTCTCTCTTTCGCCTTAGCTCAGTGGCTGCTGCACTGATTTAAATGGTATGTGTATGGCGGGAAGAGCAGAAGGCCGGGAACAGTGGCTATCCATCCTCCTCCCTCCCTCACACACTCCTTTCCAAAATACAATGTATGGCTGCCTCAGCTGCTATTGTTATTATACATACACACATGATATACATATACATATATATGTATACCTACATGGCTGCGTGGGTTTAAATTAGTTTTTGTTATAACGAAACAGTATGGCACGCACACAAACAGCGAGTCAGGCACGCAGAGAGAGACTCTACTCACACACACGTACAAGCACATAGTATCTATAGGTTGTTTTTTTTTTTTGGTTGTTGTAACTTAAGCACGCGCCTTGCTTTTGTTTTTGCCTTAATTTTTTTAGAAACATTTTTTTGTTCTGCGTAAATCTCTGGATGAGCGGCGGCACATGGATGATCCGCTGCTTGAAACTGTTCCAATTTTTGTTTCCGCGCGTTTTCCACGCGTTGTGTGTGTATGTGTACATCTACAGTCACATATGTATGTAAATGCATGGGCGTTTTGCTTTTTATGGCAACCGGCGTTTTGTTTACTATTAATATTCTTCACTTTTGCGTATGCCCTCACCTTCCTGCCACGACACACACCCACTTCAGTTAATGGAAAAAATGTCGAGTACTTTTTGCGTTTTTTTTTGTTGTTTCTGGCTCCGTACAATGCTCCTTGCACCATAAAATCGATATGCTAGCTGCGCCCTTTTCACAGCACTAGCTGGCGCTCGCTCTCAGGCAAACATACAAACACACATGGGAGGCACAAGACATGCTAAATAGAAGGTACGGCAGTACCGGCGCCCCGAGTACCACAGCTTGCTTGCCCTCACCCTCCGTCCTACCTTCTATTTAACATACCCTGGTGAGATAGAAGAGAGCGTTTACAGATACACAGCACACGGTGCGAATGGCATCGGGCAGCGTCACATTAGCAATAGATTTTTACACCACTACTACTATATAGAGGGAGCGAGAGAGAGAGAATGTCTGTTAGTTGCCCTGGCTATCTATCCAGGCGCCCCACAGCTCAAAAAGATCAGTCAATCCCTTTCTCTCTCTCTCTCTATCTGTATCTCTCCCGTCAACTTCTGACGCTTACTTTGTTTTTGTTGTATGCCAAATTGCACATTGTTTAAGTTTTTAAACTCAGAAACACACACTATCGAAAAAAAAACCATGGATATAATATGCATACATATATGTACATGTGTTCACTCGAATATGTGTATAATTGCACAATTATGCAGCGCCGCACGTTCATTTTGGCAAACAATTTTAACAATTTTCTCGTTTAGCAATTTGTTTCTTTGTAGTTGCCACAGTTTTTGTTGTTGTTTGATAGAAACCGTTCAGGTTTCTACCAGAAGACGGGAGCGGGGTCCGGTAGCCGAGAGATTCTTACATTTCTTTTGGTTGCTGCTGATACTGCTGCTGCTGTTGTTGTTGCTATTGCCACGGGATTGGGTTTCCGTTTCGGTTTTGTTGGTTACTTTATTTAGGAGACCAAGAGGTTGGTTCTTAACTGTTGTGTTCAACGGTTATTATTTTGCACTACTTTCGAAAAAAAAATCAATTGCAAAAAAGAGCACACATGGAGCACGAGATTGTTAGTTGTTAGGTGGCAGCGCGGAGCGGGTCGGAACTACTTTTCAGAATTCTGGAAAATTTCTGTTGTTTCAATGTCCGCGGCGCCCAAAAGATTGAGGCGGCAAGGCCGTTTCCCATACAACGACGCCCTTCGCTGCGTCAAAAAATTAGCAAATGTTGCCCGTCTCTAGTTGCATGTTGCTGGCAGCCCGAACGCATTCTGCTGCACAGTGCTAGGTATGGGAGTTTTTATACCCTATATACTCAATTATTTATGAAATTTTTTATTCACTCTAGTTCTCAATAAACGGTAAATAATTCCTTTTCCTTAAAACGATTCATGTAAAAGTCCTGAATTTCGTTGTAATGATCGTGAGTGTGAAACTATATTGGGCCCGAAACTTATGTGCGTTACTAAGGTCTCATCTCATCAATTTTATATATTTTTTTTCAAGGGTATTCAAATGTTGCCCGTTCTGCTTGAATGTTGCTGTACAACGACGGCCATGTTGCCAAGCACAACACACCACATCAGAGAGAGAGACACGGAGAGAGAAAGAGAGAGGACAAACATCAGAGAGAATGAAATGGCAGTGCTGCCACAGAGTCGTGTGTTTAAACGGGGCAGCAGCAGTCTGGCATCATTTGTGTCATATCGGTTTTTTTTTGTTAGCCAAATAGCCACATTTTGAGCATTTTTATATCCTTGAAGAGGATGAAGTATTAATACATACATTAAGGAACGCAGCCGAAAAGTCTGTTTTTAATATGTCAATTTAATTTGGTAATAATGCTCAAACTTAGTTTGATTTTCGATCCAGCATGTTCCTGCCATGCTTATGCTTCCCCGTTTAGACAGGGCTTAAAATGGCCGTCGGTCAGTCTGATCGATCGATCTGCAGGGAAATGTTACATTTTGCAAAAATTTCTAACAAAAAATCAACAAAAAAGCATTATTAATGCGAACATAAAACATGATGTGCAGGGGAGATCGGCCAGGCTGGAAATCAATGCTCTCTAAGCGTATTCCAGTGAGGTCGTCAACCGTTTTATGATGCACGCGACCATTATCCTTACCAAATAGAGACGAGCAAAAGCAGCAGCAGCAGCAGCAGCAGTAACTAAGGGCTGTTTGGCGTGTGCACGTTTTCGTTTTTGCACTGTCGACGGGACTGTGTGTGTAGCAACCACCAGCGCTGGCAGCTCTGGGGTTGTTTCCGCCCTGCTTTAGAATTGTACACCCTCTACCACCCGGCCAGGACCCAGTTCCAAGAGGCAGTTCAATTTCAACTCCAATCCAGGCGTGCGTGCACCCGTATTGCGTGCATGTGCTTAATTGCGTCTGTATACAGAATATATTCAGCACTCACACACACACACACACACACACACGACATAGTCACCCTCCTCCCCCTATTTGAACTTCCTGTTCCTGTGTTCGTGATACCCCCCCCCCCCAATATAATGTGCTGATTTTTATGGTTGCGCTACCCTGTTTACAGGCCACGACTAGCCTGTTCCTGTTCGAATTCACGGACTGAACGGGCTCGCGAAATACAATCAAAATTGTAACTCAACGTTATTCGGTCTTGGGGGTGGTTTGCGGCCGAGGACGAGGACGATGCTGGAGTTGCGGATGCGAGCTCAGACAGATCGGCGTCGCAAGTGTTTTGTTTGCAACGAATATAAATATGTACGAGTACATATATACACAGTACATATATACTACATACAACATAGTACATGTACATACATGTACATAAGAACAACGAAAATAATTAAATATCATAAATACATGATATTTAATTATTTTCTTAATTTCCTTAACTCTAAAATACATATTTCTATATTTCAACTTACTTCTTAAATTGCAAATTTGGAGCTTACAACCCGAACTTAAACTTTATTGCGATTGGTACAACATAAGTTGTTGGTCAGTTGTTGTTGTCCGTGTTGGGCATCGTTTAAAACGTTTAAACAATGCAAATTTAAAGCTTTCAGGCTTACGTGACGGCCGTTTGGATTGTGCGTTGATCTGTACGGTAGATGGATAGATTGATATTCGATGGGCATGCAAATGGGTTACTCTTTATTAGCGACTAGTTTTTATCCATAAGTATAATTGATAATATTTGATTTCGCAGACGCACAACGCGGCTTTGTTCAAACGTGTGACAGAGATGACAGAGATAGCTAATAGACGGCACGTCTCTTTCTCTCTTGAACTACGGATCTCCACCCCCTAGATGCCGCTCTATCCCTATCCTGCAGCTTCTCTTACGGGTGCCATGCCATACCCCAAACAGTAGGCAATAATATTCGTGACCGGAGGAAAGGGTTGCCTAATCCGGCAAAAATAAAACAGCAACAGAATATTACAACAAAGCGGGATTAAAAAAGCAGAACCAACACAAGATTACAATATTCAGGGGTAAATTTAAAGGCCAGGGGTTGTCGATGGGCTGAGATGGGAGTGGAAATGGAATGGACTGGATGTGGAGTTGGAGTGACGTGACGTGATGGGAAGTGGAGTGGAGTGGAGTGTAGTGAAGTGAAAGGGAGGGACACGCACAAACAACACAACCGTTGCATAGGGAGGCGTGGCCCACCCTTAAGCGAGTGCTTTCGTATAGCCAGGTGCCGGGAATGCGCCCAAAAAAATGTCTAGTCTAGGAGACAGCACAGCACAGCACAGCACAGCTCGGGGCAGGAACAGGAACAGCAAAAGGAGCTGGCTGCAATGATTCATCCTTAGGAGTACGAGAGCATATGAATATATGCATAAGGGCAATGCAACCCCCTGGTCTGGTCTGGTCTGGTCACCCATTCCTTATACATATGTATGCATGTATTCACGAATATGTACACATACATATTTACATAGCGATCCTCGGGGCGCTTTTAACTTTGCACGTCTCACTGCACAAACGAAGTACTACTCGTAGGTCCTCAGCAGAACCGACACCGACACCGATCCCCAACCCCATCCCTATCCATGGACAGATGCACTTTTTCCCCGAAACTAATATTAATAATCATAGAAATTACCATAAGACACCGGGTCAAAGTCCAGGACCAGAGACCCAGAGAGGCAGGCAGACAGAGAGAGTGAGGTGAGAGTGCGAGAATGAGAATGAGAGAAAGAACGAAATGGAGGGTTGAATGAAACGATCGCAGGACATTCGGGGACACGCTGCATGCCATTTGAATCGTGGCATGTGTTTCCTTTTGCTCCCCGTCGCCCTTCCCTTCCCTTCCCTTCCCTGCCCTCGCTGTTATGTTTCTGTTTCTGTTGTTGTTTTTGTTGCCGTTTTTTCTTTACAAATTTTTTCAGCATTGTCCGTTGACTCGATCTGCAGTCTGCTCCCGTTCTCATGCCAATGCCAATGGCCGTTCCCGTTCCCTCTCCCTCTGCCTCTCCCATTCCCATTCTGATTCCCACTCCCCTTTTCGAATCCGATTCGGTTGCAGACACCAGGGTTCCCTCGGCTGCCAGCCACCTGGCTTACTAATCAGGAATGCCGAATGGCAGTGGGTGAAATAGGAGGGAGGGTGATACCGAAGGAATGGGAATTGACGAGAAATGTTGGCCTATCCTTTTGGCAAAACAAGAAACTAAAAAAAGTCTAAACAATGCAGGATCTTTAGAGAATTGATCTCATTTTTATAAATAGTTTCTTTCTTTTTAAAGTAAACGACTTTAAAAACTCGAACTCGAAAAAAAAAACAATAAATTTAAAGTTCCTTGAAGTTGGAAAAAGAAGAAACCGGAAGGGCATGTGGCTTCGGGAATCCCATAGATCCCATTTTCTGACCTTCCAAATCCCCCCAGCTTTGTTTTGGTTGAGTGTTCAGTTCTAATCGCAGAAGAGATCGAATCGCTGTAATATCAAACAAAAGTACAAAGCAGTACAGTGGGAAAAATTATTTAAATTAAAATAAAGAATACTCTTGGATCTTATGTATACCTTTGTATCTACATTTTACGATAATATTTCGATCAATTAAACTCTTAGGCGAACAAATTGTTTTAATTGCTCCTAGCTGATGATTTTAACCGATGGTCAAAATAATCAAATGAAAAATATGACTTTATATGACTTCAATTACAAATTCTCATTTCTCTGATATTCTTCTGATCGTCGCCTGACCTAACCCAACCTCTCTTCTGATGACGAATAAGGGTGGTGGCTGCACTTAAAGGATTTCTCCTGCTGTATCTTTGCTCCTGCTCTTTCACATTGCATATTCTTCTTTTCCGGTCTGCCCGGCCCATTCAACTGGAACCCACGCCTATTTGTTTACACGCCACGCCGTCAGCTCGTCAGCTGTTTTGAGGTCCATGCCATCCATCCCATTCTCCGATTCTGATCGCGATCCCGATCCCAATCCCCATCCCAACAATCGATGATGTGTGACTTTGCCGAAGTTGTTTTTCTTATGTTCATTTTCATTTTCTTTCCTTCTTCTTATTCGTCTTGTTTGTCATTTCAGTTTGCCAAAGGATCAGTTGGTTTACATTGGACTGAGGGACATTGACCCCTACGAGGCGTTCATATTGAATAAATTTGGAATACGCTACTATGCCATGGATGTGAGTAGAAACCGAATACGAGTTCCGAAACCAGCTCAGCTCGAAAGAAATGTGTAAAGGGAAAGCGAGCGACACCTAGGTAAAGCAAGCAGAGGGAATGCCCCCGAGTCGTCCTGCGATGCCATGCCGGTTGTATGGATTGTAAAATTCCGGTTTATATATGTAGCTCTCTCTCGCTCCCATCCTCCCAGGATCAAATGACACACGAAGGTGCGTGAATGCCCAGAGAATTACACAGTATGTCCTGGTGTGTGTGTGTGTAATGTTGTAAGCTTGGCATTTATAGGGGTTGTCTGAGCAGCATATCGACAGGACAGACACCCTCCCTACCGGGCCCTACCCCTAAATCTGCCCCCCACTCCACCAGGAAGCGAACGATGCCAACCCCGCCCATTCCATCCCATCCCATCCCATCCCATCCCCCGTTACAAGGCTCTGGGTACTTCCGATCGGTATAGATTGGCAATGGTGGTGGCTATATGGCTACGGCTATGGCTGTGGCTATACATATGCCCAAAACGTGCGCAGCCACATCCGTCGTTCGCATCCTTGTCAGCTCTCGTTGCCCATTATTTATGGCTCGTGCAAAATCGAAGTCTGAAGTCTGTTGAAAAATTGTTTAATGTTCGTTCCCGATATCCAGAGCTGCAAATTTATTATAGCCTCATTATATTCGATCGTGCGGCATGGTGTAGAATGGGGGGAGGGGAGGGCAGTGGTCTGGGACTGGGACTGGGCTAATGGCTGCTAGTGGTACAGTTGGCCATAAAATGATATGATAATGGAAGTGCCCATCGAACATTTGAGACTGATGCTGATACTGATAGCTGGCACTGATTCGATTCCGATTCTTACTTAACTAGCTACCCAAATACATAGGAAACTGTAAAGAATGGCTTACTATAATGGACTATAATAGAGTTCCCATAAAAATAGAATGGCAGTGGAACCCTTGTGCAGATAACCGGCAAAATCCAGAATGTATTGTACATGTGATGGGCGGAAATTAATTTAAATCAAATCAAATCATTAATCACAGCCAATCAGTTTCTTCAAATACCCTGAGCCAGTGCCATTCGCTATCTATCCCTTTCCTTATCTCTATTTCTCTCTCTATCCCTCGCACATCGAACTTCCTCCTTACTCTTCCACAGCTATTCTTATTATTTTTGTCTTTTTCTGTACTTGCTTCTGCAGACAATCGATCGCGTGGGTGTGCCGAAAATCATAGAGATGACCCTGGATGCGTTGAATCCGCAGAACAAGATCCACGTCAGCTTCGACATTGATGCTCTGGATAGCAACGTGGCGCCCAGCACCGGCACTGCCGTTCGCGGCGGCCTCACGCTGCGCGAGGGCATCAGCATTGTGGAGGCGCTGCGGGACACAAAGAGGGTGCAGGGCGTGGACCTGGTGGAGATCAATCCAAAGCTGGGAAACGAGCGCGATGTGCGCACCACCGTCGAATCGGGCCTGGAGATCCTCAAGAGCATGTTCGGCTATCGGCGCTCCGGCCACTGGAGTAACATCGATACGGGCATCCTTGGCAGCGATTGAGACGGATATCGATATTCCGGACCGCACCGCATCGCGCCCAGGCACAAAAACATCCATATCCATATTTATGTACAATAACAAATGTTTCATATTTCGTTAGTTTTTCCTGCTTTTTTTTTTTGGCGAGCTTAATAAAATATTTGAAGAGGAGATGGAGAGATTTGGGAGTTGTATAGACTTGGGGGGGAGATTCCACTTGGGCCGATCCGATCTAGAGGCCAGACTTGGGCTGGGCCGTGGGCAGGTACGCCGAGATATCCACGTTGGCCATCCTGTTGGCCGTCTGCAGCAGCTCGTTGATGGGCACCGCTGGCTGTGGCGCTGCCGTCGCAGCCAGCACCGGGGCGGCAGCCGCCGCTGCACTGGACGGGGTCTTGCCCAGGCGCTGGTAGAGGTTCGGGGCAAAGGTGCGCAGGAGGCAACGATGCAAGCAGAGCAGCAGGGCGTTAATGCAGCCCGAGATGACAATAATACCCGATATAATGGAACAAAGGCGAATAACAAAGTTTACCAGATGGTCGCGATCATTTCTCACGACTATCTTCAGCGCCGACCAGTCGTACTTGAAGTAAATGCCCGGCGAGCCGTAGGAGTTCCGCTCGGAGTCTGAAGGGAAACGAAATCAAATCGAATCAGTAGGGAACGTACAGGACAGACGAACGCAAATTGGGGCTCACCTAACTTCCGTACATTCTCGGTTACGGCATATTGAAAGGTATTGATCGTGGTGAACGTCTGATGGATCTCTGTGGGCACCACCTTGAGAAAGTATTGCACTGTGGTGGCCTCCTCGTGGATGATGCTCTCATCGCCCTCCAGCGGCTGCACAATGCGCCGCGAGTACTGCCCAAAGCTGAGCCGGTTGATGCGGTGCGTGAAGTTGGCCGGCATACGGCGAAGCTCGATCACCCAGTGGTCCTCGAACAGTCCAACCACGGGCTGGGCGCCGCCCACTAAATGCAGAACGCCGGCAACCTTGTTAATGCCCAGAGTGCCGTGCAGGCGGCAGGCATCAAACTTTGTCTCCGGCTGTCCATTGGGCAGATGCAGCTCCAGGCTGGCGGGCACAGCCCCTGGAGGCGGAGCCACTGGGGCCATGGCCGAGCCGGCGGTGGGGTCACCCTTCATGGGATACGGATCGCGCATGATGTCCTTGAAAAGCACATCGGCCACCGAATGGAACTCCTCGCGCAGATAATGGTTGGTCATCTGAATGAACTGGAAGTGTTGGCGATCCTTATCCGACATCTTCCACCAGACGCCCTCGCGCTGCAACGTGCCGTAGGCGAATACATCCTGCTGCGTCTCGTCCATGAGGTCCACACCAGAGAGGGCGACGCAAGGCATGGCCACTGTTATGTCCACGTGCATCTGCACCTGCTCGTCCAAGGAAATGTCCGGCTCGAACTGGTACACTATGTCCGTTTCATTCCAGTAGTATTGCAGCTCCGTGTAGACCAGATACACAATCAGCAGGCGGCTCAGCAGGGACACTGTTGGGGGAAAGCGGGAAACACAATAATGAGCTGCTGGTTAGAATAAAACTTCCTCAATCTTACGTGTGCCGCCTATTTCCGTGGTTTCTGTGTACTTCTCAGGGACCTTCTTGAAGGCATCCAGATTCCTGGCAAAGTCCAGAAGATTGCTTTTATCACCACGATAACGCAATGTGGCCGTCATATTGCTTGAATGGGAGAGGAATGTCTGTGTGCTTTTCAAGCCAGAATTCCCGGCATGATTGCCACGTACTCCAAGCTCTCGCCACTGCCCCACCTTCTCTGTCACCAAGCCTCCCCAAGTCCCGGAGGCGTGTGCGCTTGTTTATGCCGTTTATCAATCCACTAGTACTATGGCTTGGGCCGTCTTATCTCGATAAATTGTAATCTTATCTAGGATAAACAAACCCGATCGTTAAAATGCCACAAAAAATTTAATCGCCGGTTACAGAAACAGCTGATGGGTGCAGTGTGACCGCAAAGTAAACCTGACCATCAGAACTATACCAAAATGTACCTTCTCTTTTCCAACATATACGGTAAATATACCAAGGAAAAATATCGAACTAGCCCACTTAATATCTTTTCATTTATGAAAATTTAATGACAAAGGTTTTCCTAGACATTTCAAAGTAGAATGGTATGTACTATACCATAAACTCAATTTCGACGTCAAATTTTCCCGAAAAGTAATACCGTAAACGTCATGTACATGTACGCACATTTCAATAAGGGGCTAAAATATAACAAAAGTATTAAAACATAACGGTTTTGTAACTATTTTATTGATAAAAGATATTTCAGTTTTGTATCGGTATATTTACAGTATATTTTGTAAAATGGGAAGGTATACTTTGGAATATTTTTGAGGGTCAGACGGGTATATATTAGCGATTTATCTGCGGCCACACTTCACTTCACTAATTTTCGTTCAAATACGCGGCATCGCCAGTGGGACCAATTAACAAACATTTCTGAATATTTCAGGTGAAAGATATCGTGGTAATATTATTTGTAGGTCAACGAGGTACAACGAGTAATATGCGAGTAATATATGAGTAATAAACACGAGTAATATTTTCCGTGGATTAACTGTTCACCTGATTAAATAGAGCGGGGTTAAGCTATTATTTTTCTCGGTATATTTACGGCATATTTTGAAAATGACGTTTATCAAGTGAAATATTTATTTTTCCATATATTAAGACACATTTCAAATTGACCGCCAAACTCATTTATCGCACAAAAAATACTGACATTTTTCGCTCTCAATTCGTGGTGGGTTTTCAAAATTTGATCTCTTTTCAGAGGTGATGAGAGCGTTTTCGTGGTGACTTTCCCTTCATTTTCGTGGTGTGAGCCACATGTATCTAACGGGAACGTAATGGCATCCCGCAGCAACTACGAATTGGATGAGTCTGGCAGCGCCACGAAAACGACGTCACATTCGTTTTATGTTGTTTTTGTTTGAACCTTAATATGTAAATAATCCAATAAAAAGGACTTCTGAAAACTTGCCAATCTTGTAGAAAAATGACGTATCTATCGGATAAAATTATTTGTTTGGGGCTGAGAGGGCCAACTAGCTAGTAATATCAAACGGAATATCAAAATCGAGGACTTGTCGTATCCGTCAGTATATTTACGGTATATTTTGATAATGGCATAGTATATTTGGGTATATTTCTGTGGGTCAGGCGGTATATTTAGCGATAAATCTGCGGCCACACTTCACTTCACGAATTTCGTTCAAGCACGCGGCATCGCCAGTGGGAAGTCTGATTCTGCAAAAGAAGTTTTTATTCTGTGACTTTTGTAAGAAGTTTATCAACTAAAGGTATTGTGCTATTTTTTTATATTATCACATTGAGAACGCTATAAACGGGCAAAAAAGAACAAAACAGGAGTACGGACAGTGCCTGGTGTCCCATAAAGAACTCTCGTACCGCCATTGATTTTTTTTCACTTCACCTTGCGCTACATTTTTTAGTTATGTAATTGTGCTAATTCTTTTTTTTATTGTGCTGGTGTTGGTTTAATTTGTTCGTACTTATACTATATTGAGTAAATGATGTTTGCTGCACGAAAAAAATCTTCATGCCGCTAAAAATGCCGCAAAACGGTGCTTATATAACCATAAAATAAAATTCGCCAATTTTGCGGCAGCGCTGAAAAGTTGCGAGGGTCTCCACGCTGCTGATTGGAAGATTAAGGAAAATATGTCGGGGACTAATACGAAATTGATCTTCAGTTTAATTAATATAATTCAAAGTCTTTCAAGCCACGCTGGAATCATTTTTCATTCACTTGGGTTTTTTTGCAGCCACGCTGGAACTGCCAACTTATGCAATTTCGGTGAGTTGGCAGTTGCGGCGGCAAACGCACACTCTTGCACTTGCTGCGACCTATAGATGTGGGTGTGTGAGTGCCTACTGAGAATTGTAGTTGAAAAACTTAGTGATTTTCAAACTAATTGAGGTGAAAATTCCCCCATATGCATATTTTATTGTCTTACAAGTGTTGGAAATTGCTTGTTCTATTGCCCTCGCTCCCAGACACACTTCAGAGCCGCATATGAATTCCATGTGCTAATAGCTCTGTCCCGCTCACTCTGGTGCTCGGCAGTGCCTTGCGCGTGCAGGAGCTTAAGTGTGTGTGACTGCTTGTTTCTGTATTTGTAAACGAACATGTAACTGTGTTTCTCTTGTGTTCTCTGACCCGCTTTCTTCGGAAAAAGAAATTGCCCAAAAGTACAAAGTTCTCTTGCCATTTTGCACCGAAAAAGAACCGGTTTCTCATGGGGCTATCCTTCTCTCTCTTGTGACGTCAACAAAATTCAAGAAAGCGTAATTTATAATTATTTGAGAGCCTTTCAGCGTATTCGTTTTGCGCCATTTCTCATGTGTGAGTGTGGGTTTTAGTGTGGCCGTTGACGCCATTTCTCAAACATTTTTCATACTGATACATCATCTCAATTTCTTGATAACTCTGTTATCCAATTCGCTTACTTCAGCAGAAACTGTTTCCAAGTGGCAAATATAACTAACAGAGGAAATTTACACCCACGGCTTGTTTGTATTTAGTCTGGGGAATGATATCCGAGCTCGAGACTGACTCAGAGTTTGAGAAGGGGGAAATTTCTGCTGATCCACGCAAAAGCGGCAGCTGCAGCTGATTCATACATCTGAGACTGCGTAAACTTGGCCGGCTAGATAAATTGAATGGCAAACTCCGCTGCACTTTACGTCGGGCAACTCGCCAAATGTTTTTTTTTTTTGCTTACGGCCTATTTTTTTATGTAATGGCTATGATAAGGGGTGGGGGGACCTTGAAAGTATTGCTGTGCCGACTTATATAAATAACTGTATTTAGTGGTGCTGTTTATCTAATCGCTTCACGCATTTTTGTTCCGTCTGATCGAGTGAGGGAGACGGGGAAACAGGGAGCCGATAGATGAATGAGTGAGTGCGGGAGATGGGGGGAAGCAGAAAGAAAGAGCTGCGCCACCAGACATACATACATACGTCAAAAAGTCAAGTCACATGCTACGTCGCTGCTGACGCGGGCGTCGACGCTTTCGGCTCGGTTCGGCTCGGCTCGTCGCGTTGCCAACTGAGTGAAATTCTCTTCTAATTTTTGGTTTTGGCAAGCATCGTGCTTAAGCAAAAGCACAAAAACCTCGAAAGGGGTAAATGAAAAACAATTGGCCATATATGTACGAACATATGTACATGTGCATTTGGATCATCTTCTTGGCCTAAAAGGAAAGTGTTCTTGCCACTTCCTTGGTTCCATTTGGCCCCAAAATGAATGGGAGGCGCTGTTATGCAACATGGCATTGAATTCTTTATGGTGACGGAGACTGATAAGACGGCGACAACGATCCCGTTCCGTCTCTTTTTTGTTGTCCGTGAGAGCACACGTGCTAAGTTGTTGCCAACTCAGTTTGGGGTGTGGGACCACAAGCACGGTTCTCTCTCTCTTTCGTTCAGCCATCGCTCTCAACCCAACTGTCAACTGTTGCTGCCCAAGGTGCTTGAAATAAGGTGAAGCATTGCCGGGGAGCTCTCTTTCGGTTGTACACTATTTTCAGCTTCAATTGCGAGAGAGAAATTGGCTGTCAAAATCGCTAGCTCAGCAAACGGTGCAGAGAGAATGGTTTACCCTATATAAATACACCCTGTGGCTCTGCTGGCAGCGCGTGAGTGGGAGCAAGAGCGGGCGTGCCGCGATGAACTTGGTGGGGCTCTGCTGGCGTCGTCGGCCTCTGCTCTGCTGTGCTGTGGGGAGCAGCGCAGGCTTGCTGGCTGGCAGAGACGCACCTTGCTGCCACAAGCAATTTAGTTGCCGGACGGTGCAGACCTTTGATTTCGAAGGAATAAGGATTAATCATATTTTTTTTGTGCTGTGATATAAAACAAACAAATTGTACGTATAGCAAATGCCATTGCAAAAGCAAATAGAACTGCAATTAACTAAATAATAATAATACGAATAGCATCGAATCAAATCAAAACCAATCGAATCTCGTGTGTGACTTTTTTTTCTTTTTTTTTTATACTCCAGCAAAGAATTTTCTGCTGTTACATAAATCGCTTGAAAGCTATTGTGTTCTAGTTTTTTTTTTTTTATTACTTGTGTTTGGTGCGCTCTTATGCAATCAACAAGACAGGATTAACCATGGCCCAAAGGCCTTTACAATGCTAGCCAGCTTTAGATTCCCACGTGCCAAGCAAGCGGCAAACTCCTCTTTGACCAGTTCGGCAAAATTTTTCCAGCTGAACCTATTACATCACGAGTGCGCGTGTGTGCTTGGGCTCTCTTTGAACTTGGCAGAAAAGCTCTTCTGCTGTGCCTTGTTCTCTCTCACCGAATGTCAAAACCGATTAGATAACACAAGGCAACGCTGCTTTTACAGTTGTTTGCTGTCGCGAAGAGAGCAGGCGAAATTTCAAGAGCACGAGCGTGCCCGTGCTTGTGCTCACGCTCTCTTTCAATGGTGTTACATAAGTCCATCATCTGGCTTTCGTCCATGAGACTAGACTATGCTAATTTAATTTAGCTAAAATCAAATAAAATGGCGCTCTCTCTGTCTCTCGCAGTGTTTTCTAACTGCTGCTAGCTGCCGTCTCCTCCTTGGTACACTTGAAATTCTAAATTTAACGAAGAGAAACAGAAACACAGAAGCGCTTCAATGCCAAAATCGGTGAACATATATACATATACCTGTTCTACACTCATCCCTCTGAGCACACACACACCCATGAACTTTTCTTCGTATAATTATGCAATCCAAACATTGCCAAAAAGCTGAAAAATAGAACACCACAAATCTTAAATGGGAATACGCATTCGTATGAGAGTATATGCAAAATAAGTTCCATGCCTCTTAATATTTTATTTACAAAAAAAGGTTAATGGTCTGCCACGTAACCGTTTTTTTCCGCCTCTTTGGAACTGAGAATCAAAGTTGTAACCGAAA